ATCGGTCCTGAAATGTCACTTCTATCCGACTTTGTGAGTGCGGTGGAATGTGAGATCACAGTCACAAAGTCGGATAGAAGTGACATTTCAGGACCGATCATCTGTTCCAGGGCAGATCGGTTCTCCTGCACATACGATTTGCGATGCCGATCTGCCCTGGAACAGCTGAGAAAGCGTTGGAATGCCTGACCTAATGGCGGTCACACATTCCACCGCTATACAAATGAGCTGGATTATGTTAAAATGTGTGACTACGCGACCGGTCACACACTCTAACGTAATCACAAACTTTGGTAGAACAGAAGCCCTGTATGTAAACATTTAATCAGAGAAATAGACTATAATAGGGAACATTACAGTGTAACGTTCCCCATTATAATCCACTTTACTAATTGAATGAAACAAAAGCACATAACCCTCGCACCCCTAACCCCCTCCCTCGTCCCCGGCGGCTCTGACTCACCCAGCCAGCGGCGCAGGATCTCTCAGCCAGACTCTGTGTTCACTGCAGGGGGCGGGGCGTGTGACTCACTCCTCTCCCGCCGCCTGTAACTAGGGACGCGGTCGGGAGAGGAGAGCCCGCCCACTTACTGAGTCGGCAGTGCGGGACCCGGTGTTCTAACACCGGGACCCTGCACTGCCCCATAGTCCACGGGGGTCCCGGTTGTTACACCACTGCATCGGGCATAGCGGCTGTGCGGGCTGAACACAATCAGGCTGATTGTGTTCGGCCCGACATGCCCTATGGCGAGTCCGGCCCTGGCGGGGGGCACACGGGAGGGGGGGGGGAAGCAATAACCTAGGGGGGGCAAATGCCCTCCCTCGCCCCCTGTAGCGATGCCACTGTACCTGACCCTCACCTTATAGAATGTAGCTGGTCTCTTGGGGAATGAGGTTAGGTAATTGACACATGATCCAACCTTACAAAACACAGATGAAACTGAAGATAATGATATGATTAACAGCACCTGTCAGAACCTGCTAGACACTAACAACCATGCTGAAAACCAGGAAGCCACATACTCATGTGCTCAGGGTTATAGCACCACAAGCTCTTGTCAATAACACAATGCTGTATACATAGGACCATGAAAAGATTACTGAATTATAGGCAGGATAGGCCTGCAAGAAGCAACAATACCATAAGTTACATTTAAACATTAACAACGCTTGGGGAACCACAGGTGACAGCAAAATACTCACATGAAAGGCACCCAAAGAATTAAGGCTCAAGATTGAAGCTGACAGAGTTAGCAAACAAACACATTTCTGTAAGATCTGGTTAAGCTTTAGCAGCAAAGCACAAGGCAGCAGCCTGCACTCATCAAGCACCTGCAGGGTAAAGCACCACAGGCAAGCTAATGGATGTTTTTAGGTAAATACTTGCAAGATTCAGCTAAGGCATAGCAGCGCCACAGAATCATATATTTCCCTGTACTGCACCTGTAAGGTTAAGCACACTGAGAAAACTGAGTGGCTCTACAGACATAACAGATATTCAGAAAGATTCAGCGAGAGCAAAGCAGCACTGCAAGGCCATAGGAAATAGTAGCATGTATTTCTAAAACAAACTCATTGAAAGAAAATGGAGTGGATCCTACTTGTCAGCTTGTCCATGCAATGTGATCATCCCATACAACCATAGTTTGTGATGATGCAGCTGAGTCACGGTTCCTCTCTGGAGTCACAAGACCAGGAGACTAAGCTAGTGTTCTTGTCAGCTTGTCCATGCAATGTGATCATCCCAGTACAACCATAGTTTGTGATGATGCAGCTGAGTCACGGTGGCCTTGGGAGGCGGGCTTTAATTTATAGTATAACTGGTCCTGTGATTGGGCTGGGGGCGGACCCATACCCATTGTATGCTGCCATGTACGGTGTCAGGAAATATATATATGTATAAAGCCCTGGGATAGTTACTGCACTCTATTTGTAATAGGGATGCACCAATACTGTTTTTTCGGTATCGAGTATGAGTACCGATATTTATCTTTCGGTACTCACCGATACCGAGTACTTATATTTCCGCTAGCATGGAGCCCACTTCCCGGCCAATCAGTAAGTCGGGTGGCGAGTCATTACATGCCGCTCAGCTTCTTGATTGCCCGGGAAGCCGGCTCCATGCTGTTTGGCTGGCTTGATGTTGATTAGCCGGGAAGCCAGCTTCCCAGCCAATCAGGAAGTCGGACAGCGGGTATTAACACGCCTGAACAGACCAAGGTGAGCACTCCTGTGTAATTTGTGCATTCACTTGGTGGAGGTGAAGGATTATCAAAGAGTCTGTTGTCCTGCACACTATTAAGTCTGCTTCAGAGGACTGCTCATGTTGTTTGTACACGTTGGATCGCATTGTTTGGATTTGTTATCTGCACCGCATCATCTGATTCTTTTTGGACTTTATCTCACTGTGTATGTTATTTGGTTTGAGTTCAGCCTATAATCATTGTTGTATATTTCACTGTTTATATTTGATTGTTTCTTCAGCTCGGCACATTATTGCATGTATATTTTGTATTCTATCAGATATGATTTTAGTGCTTAGTAGCTTTTTTTCACTTTTTTTTTCATCATCACTGGCGCAGATCTTTTTTGTTTATCAATTATAAATTATTGCTCTGTGTTTATACTCATTGTACACATATTTGTGAAGAAAATAATATTTTAAAAGCAATAGAAGAAAAATAGATGATATCATATAATATTTGTAACCTTTTATATCTTTATTTTCCCTGCTCATGTATGGCCTTTCTCAGCAAAATGTCTAGGTATTAGAACTTCCCTTATATTTATTCAGAATTATTTTAATTATTCAGTTTACCTTATTTAGGCAGTGGCCATTTTGCAAACTGAGTCTATATACGGGAGGTAAGGTGGCCATTTTGTGGGTAGCCTGTGTTGCAAATATGCAAGTTAGAAGAGACTTTCACACTATATTTCTTCTATGGGGGTTATTCACGAAAGAGCCAAAGGATTTAGCCAAACATTTGGCTAATCCTTTGGCTTACTTCGGCTGCAGGAACACGAAGGGCTGCTGTACGCGCTATTCACAATGGCCTATACAGCAGCCAAAGGCACCAGAACGCATATGCTCCCCACAAATTGTGAAAAAATAGAACCCCCCCCCCCAATAACAGCATGTGAATCCCCTCTCAAATTCATACCAGACCCTTTAGGTCTGGTAGGAATTTTAAGGGGGACCCCAATGTTAAAAAAATGCATGGGGTTCCTCTACAAATTCATACCAGAAATTGTATGATAATACATAGCGGTGTCATCTTGATGTATTCCCTGGTAGTCCAAGATAGCCCAGACAGGCACAAAAACGTCAACGCATTTCGCCCCTCCTCTCGGGGCTACGTCCTGACATCAAGATGACACCGCTATGAATACCAAACGATAAATACAACAAAATAACAATCTGCTTGATGTCGGACATCCAACACAGATGGGGAAAACCGGTTAGTACCCGATAAGCGCTAGAAGAATTCATTACAGCATACTTCTATATATAAAGACAACAAAGTGTTGTATATGTAGAAATTGGATCTTGATTATAGCCTAAATAGTGGATTTGGATTTCAAAGACGTGCTGGCTCCTCTATAACTATCCCTTGATCATCTCGGTATG